AAGGCCATATTTTCTCACAAGTGATTTTCTCCCTCCTCTGCAACTACCGCCATGGATTTCTTTGTGAAACTCCTTTTCCTTGGAAAAGTTATCTGTGCTTATTTATCTCCTTTTCTTCACCTTCTACTCTCTCTTAAATCCTCTTCAGGAAAAAAAAAAAATCCGCTTCAGTTTTCTTTTTTAATATCAGTTTTATGGAAACATAATTCACATACCATAAAATTCACTCTCTTTAAAGTATACAGTTTCATGTTTTTCTAGTATACTCACAAAGTTGGGCACCCATCATGACTATCTAATTTTAGAATAAATTCATCATCCCCAAAAGAAACGTCATGTCCATTAGCAGTCACTCCCCATTCCCCCTGGCAACTGCTAATTTACTTTCTATCTCTATGAATTGGCCTATACTGGGCATTTCATATAAACAGAATGATGTATCTGGCCTTTTGTGTCTGGCTTCTTTCACTTAGCATAACTCACTTAGCATAATTCTTTCACTTAGCAGTACTTCATTCCTTTTTATGGCCAAATCATATTCCATTGTCTGTCTATACCACATTTTTTTTATACATTCGCTACTTGATGGGCATATGGGTTGTTTTCCCTGTTTGGCTGTTATGTATAATACTGCTATAAATATTCATATACAAGTTTTTGTGTGGACCTGTTTTCAGATCTTTTGGGTACGTACTTAGGAGTAGAATCCTGAATCATATGGTAACTCTATGTTTAACTTTTTGAGGAAGTACAGAACTATTTTCCAAAACAGTGGCATCATTTTGCGTTTTCACCAACAGCCTGTGAATGCTCTAATTCCCCGCATTCTCACCCACACTTGTTATTCTCTTTTTTTAAGGTTGCCATTCTATTGACTGCTAAGTGACATCTCAGTGTGGTCTTCATTTTCATTTTACTAATGACTGATGATGTTGAGCATCTTGTCACGTGCTTTTTAGTTAAGATTTATTCTCCCAGTTTCGTGGAAGCTAACGCAAGCTTTCAACAGTGCTGACTGTTGATGATACACTCCTTGAAATTCCTTCTTCCATCAGTTTGAGAGCTTACCCTCTCTTGATTTGCCTCCTTCTTTGCTGTATCCTTAATCTGAGTCCTACTTCTTCTCTTCCCAAAATTCAAATGTTGAAGTGTCCCAGTTCTGAATTTTTAGCTCTGCCCACTAGGTTTTTTTTTGCAGGACACTTATATCCACCTGAAACTAAATTGTATATTTATTTTCTTGCTTATTTTCTGTATCACCCTTTGCATTGTAGCTCTATGGAGGCAGGGACTTTGTCTTATGCATTACTATATCCCTGGTTTCTAGACTAGAACTTGGTTCTAAATATTTTTGCATGAATAATTATAAATGTTAGAAAAATGTAAACAGATGTTATATGAATAAAGAGTGGGGCTCTCTATAATTAAATAAGTTTCTGGATTGCTAATTAAACAAATTTAACCATGTGTCTTTTGAGTGGGTCTTCTCTGACACTATGCTAGTGAGCATTGTGGAATTTTAGTTGACCATGCAAACTTTTTTGGTATGCAGTGCATCATGGATTTTTAAAAATACTCTTCCCGGGCTTCCCTGGTGGTGCAGTGGTTGAGAGTCTGCCTGCCGATACAGGGGACATGGGTTCGTGCCCCGGTCCGGGAAGATCCCACATGCCGTGGAGCGGCTGGGCCCTTGAGCCATGCCGCTGAGCCTGCGCGTCCGGAGCCTGTGCTCCGCAACGGGAGAGGCCACAGCAGTGAGAGGCCCGCGTACTGCAAAAAAAGAAGAAGAAGAAAAAAATACTCTTCCCACTCAAGCAGCTATACTGTAAAATTTAATCAGAGGTTTTGATAGCACTTAAAAAAGTCAATTGTGATCACCAAAGTTCAATATGAAGAACGAATTATGTCGAATTATCTCCGTATGTGCTGTTCATGGGGGTTTTATCAGAATGCCATCCTGTTGGAAGGCCATGACAATGGTATTCCTTCACAACAGTGAGGTTTTGAGCAGGCTTTATGGTGATTTCCCTTTTCTGAGAGGTTGAGTGCTTTGTCAGGATGTTGTGATCAGTCTGTCACTTAAGAATTTAAGTCAAGCTCTCAGGCTGTGTTGAGAGCTATGCCCTTGGGGAAAATCACCTATACAGTGAGCTGTTTGCTGTCATCAGTGTCACAGTGAATTTAAAGTGGTTACCAATGATCAAGGGTGGCAGTTCCAGGGCTGGGTGGTAACAGAGCCTATAGAAATAGCCCTGAACGCTAACCCAGGAGAGCAAGGTAAAGAAAAAGAGGTGTGGGATGGGCCTGGACCCAGGAGGTTTCCCTAATGTAAGTTCACAGCCACCTGTATGTCATTAGCGGACAAGAACAGACATATTCGTAAGGACAAGGCACAGAGGGTGACCAGAGAGCGGCAAGTCGAGGAAGCATTCAGTAATAGGTCTCCCATAATGCAACAGGGCAGGCAAAACAGTGAGTGACCTTGGTGCTTACATTAGCACATTTTCAGGAGAGGAGGTCAGGAACCAGATGGATCCTGTGAACCATGGTTGCGGTTGTCTAAGTATGGCCCTGGACCAGCAACATTGATATCACTGGGAGTTTGTAAGAAATGTGAATTCTAGGGGCCTGGCGATCTGTGTTCCACCAAGCCCCGGGTGCGTGCTCAGATTTGAGGACCCCTAGTCAAAGCAACAGAAATAAGCTTTAGCAACAGAGTAACTTTAGCCGTGTCCCATTCAAGGAGCTTCTTAAGTATCTTCCCTGCTGGTGTGGGAACCAAGCCCTGAATGTGATCTCTATCTGCTGATTAAGAAATAAATAAAAAAAATAAATAAAAAGTAAGAGTAATACTGCTGCAGTTCTGTGTATTAAGTATTCAGTATGTACTGAGCCGCATGCTAGGGACGTGGTTAGCAGATTTGATCCTCTTAACAGCTCTGTGAGGTCGAAACGGTTGCAACCCCCCTTATGGATGAGGATACTGAGATATAGGCCTTATGGGGCAAGAGCAAAGAGCTAGTAAGTGGTAGGCCCAGGATTTGCATTAGGCAGTTTGGCTGCAGAACACTGGTCTGGAATACCTGATTATTGAAAGGTCCAAGGGGGATGGTGGGTGGGTGGGTGGGTGGGTGGGTGGATGGATGGATGGATGGATGGATGGATGGATATAAGAAAGGAAGGAAAGGGGGGAGGGAGGAAGGGAAGAAAGAAGGAGGAAAAGAGGGAAGAAAGAGGGGAAAGGGTAGCTGCAGGTTTGGGAGGTAAAGGCTGAGTGCGCCTTCTTTTAAGGGTGGGCTGTTTCCACGTACTGTGGCAGTTTTGCTGTCTTGCTGTTAAGTCAGCTAGCCCACGTGCATCAATCACTTTCACCCTGGGCTTATCCCGCACTGCTTCCTTCTAAGAATTTGTGTAGTTTGTGATGTATTTTTCCCTGTTTGTTTTTTCTCCTTGTCTCCCGCTGCTCACATAGTCTTTGTGACTTAGGCATGCACTCGTCCCAGTTGCCGAGGAATCCATGACCGGCTTCATCATTAACTGGAGAATATTCTGGGAAAAACGTGTCACTCTTTGGGGACCATGTGCTCAGGGGCTGATGTGAAGCTCCTCTCTGCTTTATTCACCTTGGAACGCCTTGTTCCCTGCCTCTGCTTTAATAGCATATCATTTTCCCCTCCTCGTGCAACAAAGCCACAGGGACACTTATCTCACATTCTCCGGAGGCCCTTTGGAGGCTTGGAGACTTGGAGCCTGATCACTGTAATCAAGAAGGGGTGGGTGTGATCGGAGACTAGGTTTGATTCTTTGTCTGCCTGTCCACATTTAGGCCTTTCCTTTTCACATTCCTCCCCCTGGTTTGTGAACATAGCTCAAGGGCAGGAGTGAGGTTTAACTTCGGCTGAGGTACAATAGAGGCTCCTTGGAAATAAAACTTTTAAATGGCAGTTTAGCCTTGAAGGGTATTGAATTAGATATGCTGTGTGCCTTGACTCATGATCTCTGCATAATAGCATTGCTATGTATATTACCTGGGCGCTTTAGTAGACTAGAGAAATGGACTGTTTAAAAGATTAACTTCACAGAATCGGCGTTATGTGCTGACAAAGAATGTGGTGGTAAGAGCCAGATGGGCTGGCTTCCTGTGCTGACTCTACCACTTCCTCTGGGGCTTTGACCTCTCTGAGCGTAGATTTCCTCATCTGTAAAATGGAGATCATAGTAGAACTTGCCTCAGGGGATTATTCAGATCATCAAATGAGATAAAAGCTTTCTTATCATAGTAACTCAACACTTAATAAGTGAGAACTATTGATGTTACTATTATATGATTATTATTTGAAGCCCCTGTTCTGTTACTTGCTCCATACTCCTTTCTACTTTCGCTCCTCTGCTTCTTTACTTATGCCGTTCTCTGTTAGCCAATCCTTCTTTCTTGTCAGTTTCAGAGTTCCTATGGTAACCTTTTAAGACATGCTGTCATTTCAAAGCACTGGCTAAATACAACCAAGACTGACAACTATGGGTAATTCCACAGAGCCCCTAAAACACTGGCACTCACACTCTCACATATGCCACCACATTGTCCTCTCTTGTTTTTTGTTTTGTTTGTTTTGTTTTTTTTGCGGTACGCGGGCCTCTCACTGTCGTGGCCTCTCCCGTTGCGGAGCACAGGCTCCGGACGCGCAGGCTCAGCGGCCATGGCTCACGGGCCCAGCCGCTCCGCGGCATGTGGGATCCTCCCGGACCGGGGCACGAACCCGAGTCCCCTGCATCGGCAGGCGGACCCCCAACCACTGTGCCACCAGGGAAGCCCCCTCTCTTGTTTTGAGCCTCTATTCTCTGCAGATTTCAGATATAGTTACTGAAGGTGACTTGCTCTGAAAAATAATCCAGCAGGAGCCAATATGGAGTAACTGGACTTCATGGGAGCGTCATTATCAAGCCTAGAACTATATGGGGAGATAATCACATTTTATTCTTTCTTCCTTGTACTTTTTCAGCATGTTCACATCCACGTTCTCCCAAGGAAGGCTGGAGACTTTGGCAGGAATGACAGCATCTACGATGAGGTAGGTCTGCTCTCTCTGATCTTATTGTTTGATTATCGGGGCTGGAAGTGTGAGGAAATCAACCTAATGAACCAGGAACCCTGTGTATATGGCCTTAAATGGGATTCTACCCAATAAGACTTGGGAAGTGGCAGTAGAGGCCAAGGAGCCAAGAATGGCCATTGCAGAACCTGAAGACAAATGAATTACAATGATTTTCTTTTTCAAATGTAATCTGGCAGAAACCAAGTGTCTTTGTGATTTCTGTCCTGTCATTTACCAAGGCACTAAACATTTTCATGGAGATACAGCCCAGAGGTTCTGTAGGAGATAATCTAGGGTGCCACCAGTGGAAATGAAGCAGATTGATATATGTTTTTTTCTTTTTTTAGTTGAATACTACATTTAATTTTAAAACCACTTTGGAACTCGGCTTGCCTCTCCTAACAGCATTTATTCAGAGTGGAACTTTGAGTTATGGTCAGCAGAAACTAGGTTGGTTTGAAGGATGAGTGTAACCCCTGTGTCATAAGCATTTAGCAGTTAACTTATTACTTCCATTCAAAGATATAAGTGTGAAACCACTATAAAGATGAGCAGAAAGAAGCAGGTGATCTGCTCCTAGGACCTCATCTACATGAGAACCTTCAGATGTCTGTCTGTGCTGTGTGGAGCGTAGACCCTATCATGGATATGCTGGTGTAAAATACCAGAAGAAAATTTCAGTTTAAATATTTCTTTCAGCAAGGAGAGGGCACCTGTGTTCCCCACGTGTAAGAGCTGATCTGATGGCAGTGGGGCTCTGGAGTGCTTGGTTGGAGAGGTGAAAACACTGTTTTCTTAGGCTGAACTGTCCCCTTGAAATCTTGTTTATATTCCAAATGTGCTTGTGACAGAAGCTGCAGGGCTACATTTCAGCCCAGTTTGAGACATGATGTCCAAGGCTGAGGTTGGTGTGTGGCCTTTCTCTCCTCCACACTCTTTTGCTCTCTCGTGTACACTCTCCCAGTGTCTCCAGCCTTACAGGTGAAGCAACACATGTCCCTGTCTCCTACCCATTAGGAGAAGCTTCTCAGGAGAAGTAATTGCTAAGAGAGTTTTCTTTTTCCCCATTAATTGCTGAGTCGTAAGTCCCCACTAAGGGAGATTGTGGTGCGAGACTTGAAGATGTTGAACTTCAGAGACGGGCAGAATTAGGTTCAAATCCCAGTGCCGCCTACTGGGATTGTGTGATGTTGGAAAAGTCACGTAAACCCTGTGTTTTAATCCCCTTTTCTTGAAAATGTAGATAATATATAATACATACACTTCAAAAGGTGGTTGCATGTAATGTATGACATACTGTACATGAAAAGCTTATTACAGGGATTGGTACATACTTTATTTATTAAAGTATGTACCAATCTGGTACATGCTGGTAAAGTATGTACCAGCATTTATTAATAACTGTTTCTGTTCTTATTACCATTATTAGTTTTGTTTTTAAAAAACCAGCAACGGTGAGTAAATGGAAAACCTGGATTTGAAGCCAGGTCATTGGATGCCCCCATCCAGCGCTCTTTTCAAGGGTCAGATTTCCAATTTTCCCTCTGTCTTAAACCGCTCACTCTGAGATTCATCTTACTCTTTGTGCAAAAATACGTCTCCAGTTTGAGCGCATAATAAGATAACGCCTAGAAAGCAGCACGAGAAACATGAGGCATTGCACAGGCGTTATTGGTACAAGATGTAATGGACATTAGACTGAGTGACCTTAATCAGAAATGATGGAGTAATGAGGGGCAGCATTCTTTATACTGATGGGAGTACTCACCCCCGATTATGCATCTCTCCATGAAATACAACAAACGTACTGCCTGGGAGGGTGGGCAGTGGGAGCAGGGACAGCAGGAGACTGAGCTGCGAAGAATGGAATTGTATACCTACTGCTGCAGAAGTAGAAAATGACGGCTGGAGAAGCTCTAGATGATAAATTGGCTAGGAATGCTGTATTCTCCCTGGGCACTGTTTTAAGAGGGATGGTGACAAATCGGAGAAGGTTCACAGAAAGGTGATTAGGATGACAGAGCCTGGAAACTGTTACCTTGGGGAGTCATTGACGGTGAAGATGTGTTGTCGGAAGAAGGGAAGGCTTGTAGAGGGAAGGCTGTGACAGGGTCACTCTTTCTAAGTATCTGAAGGGCTGGCAGGTATTAAAGGTATTAAAGCTGTTCTGTGTGGCTCCAGAGAGCAGATCTGGAACCGTTAGGCATCAAGGAGTCAGGTATCAGTTCCACATAACAACAAGTCAAATTGATAGAAACTTCTGAATACTTAGAGTGCCTCGTGAGGGAGGGGGCTTCCCATCCCTGGACCCGTGCAAGCACAGAATGAATGACCGTGATTCTTCAGGAGGACTTGTCCATCCAGTTCTTGGATGGGCCACGTGGCTCTGTGATTCCCGTCTTTACATATCTGACCATTTGATGGTTACCTCCATTTTTAGGTTACGAAAGTTCTGTAACAAATAGTGTAGGGTTTTTGTTGTTGCTGTTAGTGTTACAGCATTCGGGTTACTGCCTAATAAAATATATCCTTTCCTGTTCCAGTTCGTGGAAATATAAGATATAACTCGTCCTTGACTTACACGAGATCACTCTAATGAGTTTTCTCATTCCCAGCCTCCTCCCTGCTTTTCCCCTAGCTCGGCGTTGCCTATTGATGTTCCGTGGGCTTTGTTTGCCTCCTCTTATGTGTTTTATTTTGCTTGTGAAGAATTTTTTAATGGCGTGCTTTATTTTGCCTGCAACATGTTTTTTTAATGAGTCTGGATGCTATTAGGCATGTCACTCATTCTCGAGGTCACTACCACTCCCTGTCTCTTACCCGGCTTGCCTCACTTGTTTATGATACCAGCCTGGCCTTTGAAGGCATTTCATGGGTTACTCCTCTTCTCTCTACCACTCAAATATTACTAGTCGCCAGTATCCTCCGTCCAGTCTGTATGCCACTCATCTGTAACATCCATTTCACCTCCTTACTTCCTCATTTACAATGCTGTGGTCCTGGGTGAGTTCTTCGACCTCCCCAGCTCCTCTCAGCCTCATTCCTTCTCACCACTTGCTTTTGTCAAATTCTCGTTCCCACCTCAGGGACTTTGCACATGTTGTTTTCTTTGACTGTACCTTCTTCCATCTTCTGTTCCCCTTCATGTGGCTTCATATCTTCTTCCAAATCTCAGTCCAAATATTACCTCCTCAAAGAGTCCTTTTTACTGATCCCCCCCATCTCATCTAAGACAGCTAATCCCCTATCCCCTCCAGGAGAAGGCTATCGTATTTCCATGTTTATTTCCTTCATAACATTTACCACACTTGAAATAACTTCTTAGTGTATTATTCAATGCCTGCATCCCCAGCTACACTGTAAAGCCATGAGAACAGGGACCTAATCTGGTATAGAACAAGTAAATAAATAGTTGTTCAGTGAACGAATACCTGAAAGAACAGGGTGTTGAAATAGAGGAACTTGAAATTCCCTACTAGTCCTTACATAATTTAAAAGGAGAGAACATCTTGGTTTTCAGAAGGTCAATTTATTAACTCATAGCTACACTGGGTGAGGTTCTGACATGGTGATATCAGCCATCTGAGGTTAATTTAATGGAACACTGATGGAATGAAGTCTGTTGGTCAGAAATCAGTGTACAGATGGCTGCAAATTGTGGCCCATCAGAAGGGCTTGGTGAAGTAATTATAAACATTGTCTGACTGCTAAGCAAGTCTGGTAGGCATATGTCAAAGCTGATAAGAAACTTGCCTCCCCTGAAACCCAGACTTGCGTGTCTGTAACAAATACAGATGTGGGATTTGCTGAAAACCTGCACAAGAGTTTCCCTTCCTTTCTTTCCAACTTTGATTATCACTTCTGAGTTCACCTTCATCTGCTCTTCCTCCAGCTCTCTGTCCTGAATGTGTCTTTATGCATTTTGTTGGATAATTTATCTTCCTCATTTCAGAGTATTGGTCTCTCTTCTCTCCCTCAAAATCAAGTCCAAACTCCATCCTTTCCAAGACAGAATCTCTTGTAAAGCCCTTTCTTTATGGTTCTCCATGCAGATCTCATTTATATGATGCTCCTAAACCCTTTCTATATCTATGTTATTTAAATTTCCATGAATTACAGGAGGCCTTGTCTGAACTCAGTGGACCCTTCATTATCTTGACAAGTCGATGAAGATTATGATAATAACATAAATGGGTCCTTAGATAAGAGAGCATGTACAGCTAATGCGGGGGATGGAAACACCCCTTGCCTAATGTCGTGGTATATCATCTCATTAACACAGTAAGGCTTACCCTAGCTGTGTCCCAAGTAAGCAACTCTCATAACTGTATTGGACAATTCATTGAATGTTTATGGGTGACATTGAATGGTTGTGACTGTGCACTGTATATAAAACCCATTACGGACGAAGGAAGTGACTATTATTCAGGCCAGTGAGACTAGCAATCAGCAACTGGAAAAACTCAACCATGCATTTCATAGACAGAGCAACTGTGGGTTCAAGCATATCATGGGAAACAATTGCTTGGCTAAATACAACGCACGGACAAAATCAGTTCTCTAAAATGCAGGTCATTTGGCCCTGAGGGCTGGAGAAAACGATTATATCGCTGATAATATTTATTGTTGAACTCGGATCTGTTTCACACACCATTTCACAATGGGCTCAAAGTCCATGGGTCCCCAGTTGACTCTCCAAAAGGGAAGGAATGTTTCACTGAGACAGTTAATTAGCTTTTTTTCGTCTCGGTTCAATGATGTCCTCAGACTGAGGGATGCGTTTTACAGTGTTTGAGAATTTCGGATTGTAAACTTTGTGATCTCTTGTTAAGGACGCCTTCGGTTCTTCTTCAACTCGTGAGAACTTTTTTTTGTGTGTGTGGTACGTGGGCCTCTCATTGTTGTGGCCTCTCCCGTTGCGGAGCACAGGCTCCAGATGCGCAGGCTCAGTGGCCATGGCTTACGGGCCCAGTCGC